AGTCGGCAGTTCGGGCGCAGTGTGCAAGAGGACCTCAGCGATCAGCAATTTTCGCAGAACCACTTCGCCACACGTTCAAGGAGCTGTACTTTGATTGAGATACGACAAAGAAACTGTCGGGCCGCCGTTCAGGTTGTTTCGCGCGCTTTCAAGAGAGGCGTGCAGTTGGGTTCTAGAGCTCGAGAACTTGCTGCTTTCCTTTTGCCGGAGACCTTGTTGGTTTCCTTTTGTTCGAAGCGGTGATCGCTTTCGAGGGGGTATAAAGAAAGATAAGAATTCCACACGAAATTCCACTGGAATAGCTTCGCCATGTTATATTCCACTGGAATAGGATTTTGGTAAATAAATTTCAACTTTTACGATTTTATTGCAACTTTGTTATTCCAAAAAGTCCAGAAACTAAAGTTCTCTATTTTGAAATATGCGGAGTACAATAGCTCGTAATTTACGGTACTTTGACAGAGAATAGCGGTTCGACGTTTGTTGTCGTGCCATCGCATCCATCAAATGCCAGCACCTGACAGCGCAATGGAGCCGCCAGCAGTGGAGGAACGTAGTCCCGGGGCTAACTACCACCGCATTGACCTGCGTACAACGGATCCAACGGAGTTAAGTGGCGCTAGTTCTCCCGGCGCCAGCTCTCTCAAGCGCTTCGCATGCCAGTTCGACCCAGGCTCCAAGAACGGGCGTGTGCTTGTACTGCTGTTCGACCGCAACGGAGACTCGGAATTTAAGGAGATGAGCAGGCTGGACGTATTGCGTATGACCCAGCAGGCAGCGATGCCTAAAGAGGAGGAGCCCGAAGAAGCTGGCGAGGTGGCCGATGTCGCTGGTCTGCCACTGCGGCGGCTGGGCAGTTTGGGTGCCAAGGGCCGCCGAACCAGCATGAACATAATGCGTGGAGAAGGCGGAGGACTCGACGGACCTAATTATGCCACAGTCTGTGATGTTCAGGTGGGTCTTAAAGACTGTCGAGCGATTAGAGCCGTACTTATTTGGTTTTATCATTGTTGTAGCGAGTCCATGCGCGAGATATTCGACGGATGGAGAACGCGTTCTCTGTGTCGAACGAGCCCGCGATTATTATTCGAAAGCAGGCGATTCTTATTAGTGCTGGTACAAAGAGTGAATACTGGGGTTTGTTTGTTTATGCTGACCAATATTTGCTGTTCTTCCCAGACCCGTTACGCGCGATAGTGATGCGAGACGTGTGTCTTGTGTATGTGCCTGATGGAGCTGACAGTCTTCTGTCTATTCTCAAAGAGCAATTTAGCCAAGCTGCTCGAGAGAATGCAGAGGACCCGTACGAGTTCAGGTCGGTGGAAACAGAAAAACGAACATGATCGGCATTATAGGAACATCCAACTGAGACTTTTGTGTATTCTTGCAGGGCACTGGAGGCGTTGCTAGCGACATTAGCCCGGTACTTCCAATCCGACTACGAGAAGCTCTCTCCCATCGTGATTTCGGCCCTGGATCGATTGGTGCAAGGAAACCTGCACTCACGCGAATTGGAGACCCTACGCGAGTTCAAGAACACAATGAACGAGTTCGAATCACAAGTAGATGGCGTACGTCGTGTGCTGATGGAGCTGCTGGACAATGAAGAAGATTTGCGCTTACTGTACCTGACGAAGCTTTACGAAGACCCTTCTCTTCTCACGGATCTGTACAGCTTTGATTCAGAGGAAGCTGAAGTACTGATTGAGAATTACTTGCAGGATATTTTCTCGACACGAACGAAGGCGGATTTGATGCAGCACCGCATTACCAACACGGAAAGTTTGGTGATGCTGAAGCTCGACTCGATGCGAAACTACTTGCTCCGAGTAGACCTCGTGTTCTCTCTCGTTACGATCAGTCTGTCTGTGGGTACACTGCTCGCTGGAGTGTTCGGTATGAACCTGGCATCGGGCGTTGAGGAGGCCTGGGGATGGTTCTGGGGAGTTGCCATCACTTGTGTGATAGTCTTCTTCGTGATCACAGCTATTGGCATTTTGTTCTTCAGGCAGAAAGGAGTACTACAACTTTAAGAGCATGAGTCAATAAATTCTTGTTGTTAGAACAAAGCAGATTGCATTGATTTGGCTGGTAAAAAGAGGTTTTGCATGCATTCATTAGACAAGGCGTCTACTTTTTCTCAAACTTAACAGCACCAAGCGTGAATTGCTCTTGGCTGCCCTTAGCCAAAATCTCGCCGAGCTTCGTGCCGATAAGATGGTGGTTGGTAATCTTAATATCGCGCTGCTTGCGAGGACGGTTCTTCTTCTTGTCCTCCTTGAGACGGCGCTTCATCTGGCGACGACTTGCATCGACCTTTGCTTGCGTAGTCAGACCAGCTTGGACAAGCTTCTTCTCGAACTCAGCACGATCCGATGGCCATGTCCGCAGAGTGTCGCGCCACAGCTGACGGATATCATTCGTGCAGCCTGCAACAATAGTTCAGACCAATTAGTTCGTGGTGGGGAGCCAAATCAACGCAATGTCATACCGTGCTTCACCATCTGAAACTTGGGACCACGTTTGGGTAGAAGATCCCAGCGATCGCTGCTAGCAACATTTCTCCTCTTGGCGTCCGGAAAAGGGACATCTAGAGGGAGGTGGTCCTTGTCAAACTTGAACATGTACCTACCACAACACATTAACACTAGTTTTTAAAAGAGAAAGCTGCTGAGCTGCAGGCAACGTACTTGATTTTCTTCGACACGTTCGGGTCACGAGTTGACGAGACACTTTTCGTCGCCATACCAGCAAAAGGTGCTGGGCGGGTTGTGCTGGAGCTCTAGATGGCATACACAACGGTACATTTCAATTGGATATTGTTCAGTACCAGTACATGAATGATAACTCGAACCTTGACAGCAGCTGAAACGCGAAACCAATTGTCTCCAATACGGAATGCATCGCCTCGGCGGACTTCGCCGGTAAGGTCTTGGCTGGAGTGGGCCAAGTAGCTGCCAGCTTCAACCGTAGCAACTCCAGAGAGATCCACCAGGAAGGGGACTACGCGTGAATAATACACCTCCGCACCCTTGTCCGCATTCTTCAGACAAATGATCTCTCCCGTACGCGTCAGTTCCTTCAAGTCGTCCTCCACGTTGACGTAGCAATCGATCAAGTCTTCAATAGGCATTCCCTCGGGAATCTGGAGGATGTACAAAAACATCCAGTCAGCTCCCAGTCAGAAATTAATTTTTTAGCAGTACAGCAACTCACTCGATCAAGGATTTTAAGCAGCTGCATGCGGTTCTTGATGTCATATTTGGCCTGCAAACACACAAAAGTATTTTACAATTAGGGGTACGTCATGAGTCTGGCAGATCAATATTCTCTGACTTACCTGGTACGCATACTGGTCTCCTTTCAGTCGAACTTTTGGGTTGTTCTTGAGGCGTTGCTCCACTTGGTCGTCCATAGTGAGGTCCTAACAACAGCCCCAATAGTCAGCACAACTTCACCTCCTTGTAATCAAAGAGACCGCTGCAACGTACGACGCCTGTGTGCTTGAAAATATCGGTCACAGATACAGGCATGTGCATGGGGACTTTGCGAAGGAACTCGAGGATCTTATAGACCTTGGCGCCGTCATTCTTGGGCACAGACGACGCGTCGACTGATCCAAGACACAAGTTATTAGTCTCCCAACCGCGCCACTACACGAGCATAGACGCAATAAACGCAGCCTATAGGATTAGCTAACCTTGAGATACTACAGTCTCCTTCACCGACTTGATGGGGACCACGGCAGGCGCCGCCTCCGCCGCCTGCTGCGACCCATACGCCAAGTTTCGCCACATTCTGAACTGTCAAAATTGGCAAGTAAGTATACTGACATAATGTCATTCCGGAGGGGGAATAATAACAGTCAATGGAGACCGACCGACCCAAGAAGGAGACGTTGACGGACCTTGTGCTCGAGTTCCTAGAGGCAGCGGTGCACGAGTTCCTGTGCGTTGAATATGATTTCTTTCCCATGGAGTTTGGAGGCGTGTATAAATCTTAATTGCGAGCTCAATGTCGATTATTGATGCTGTTACAGGTTCGCATGGCAAGTGTATCCAAAAGGTTTGTACAATGTCATGTTATATTTCAGCAGTGCAACACGAACTCAATATGATGCTATACTGCTCTACGTAGAGGCTTTTGAGCAGCGAGTGCTGTACGATGTCCCTATCCACATGTGCCGCCATCCGCTGCTGTGTGAGTACATCCACTCCATGCTGACTGGCTGTCGACCGTGGCTACTGAGGGGAGAATTGGAGAATATATGCGTGATCCTTCTCTCTAAGGAAGGAAGGACGGTGGAGACGCTGGTGATTGAGCCTGGGTGGAGTGCAACGTTCGTCGAAGAAGCAGCATCGGACGAAGATTATCAGCTGCCTTTGGTGCAGCTAGAGGAAGCCTTTCGAGCGGGAATGGTTGCATTAGTAGCGACTTCAGCGCCGAACACAGGTGAGCGTACAGACAGCGCTAAGCCGAACACATTTCGCATCTTCGCTCAGACAGTGGAAGACGCCACCAATCGAGGAACTGCCGTCAATGACGACAGTGTCAGCAACTCTTGGGTACTGGCAGATCCGATCTGGTGCGAGGACCAGAAGAAGCAGAAGGAAATTTTCCCAGTGAAATCCATACATTCAGAAGCTTCACCTATCCGGCTCAACGTGTACATGAAGAGCCAGGAACCAGCATCAGCGATGATCGATAAGACGTAGCCATCTACGGCTTCAACAGTAACGTACACTTCTAGAGCGAATGACATGCTTTGCGATTTGAATTACGTTTTAACACCATCTCTCGATTTGACTTGAATCCACTATGAAATGGATTTGAATCCAGTTTTCGCGCCGTCCATACAAACACACAGAGACAACGGCAACCATGGTGCGACTCGGACTGTCCGACAGCATGCGCTCTACTGTGTCCATCGAGGACACGGAGCCTCTTCACACGGCTTCGCACCGCCGTACACCACGTCGGCTACATTCAGCATCAACAGCAACGCCGACGGACGCGTCTAACAAGCAGCGGATGGAGTCGAAGACTTCGTCGTTCGTGCTCTCTAACTCTCTGCGGATCCTTCTAGGCGGCGTATTGGCTATTGTATTGCTCTCCACCGGCATTAAAGTACTCAACATGGCTGTGCGCATCTCAAGGATCAGCAATGCGGGGACAAGAACGCAATTTGAGCGGCTAGAGAGGAGCATTGAGCTGTTAAGCAGGGACACTACGAGGCTACAAACGACTGCCGATAGTTTCCTGCAGAGCTGCCAGGAGGCACAAGTGGCAGCCTCTACGAGGACGGAAATGCTGCAAAACGCGGCAAATAGCAGATTTAAAGAGCAGACGAAGACGCAGATTGAGGAGCACGAACAGATCATGAAGGAGGTGATGCAGTATTACGCCCAGCAGGAAAGGCAGGTGTTGGAGGCAAGAGAGCGGCTCATGAAGATGAACGTCACTCTCCCAGTACAAATGGCTGCAAGACCAGCGACCGAGACCTGGCAACAGGTTGAACAGGGCGGAGACGTGGTGGAGCTAGGAGGTGCTCGTGACAGACTGGCTGAAGCAATGGAAGGACTCGAACTGTTTGCGAAGAAAACGCTGCTGGATGAAGGTGATGACTACCAGCGTCTGAGTCTGGAGAGCATTTCGATTCAGAGAACGGAGGAGTTTGAAAGCAGCCGACAAATGAGAGAAGATACGTCGAGCTCGTACGGCTCGTTGGTATTCTACTCCTTGGTGGTGTGCACCTCTGCTATTTATCTGTTGTACGCCGTCCTGGATACGAGGAAGAAGGAACTGCTGGAAGACAAGTGGGCTTGGTCCCCAGTTCCAACGATCCTAACTCGATTGAGGGCTTTGCTGGGCTCAGTCGTGGTACGTTCGAGCGAACGCTGGGTAGATCTATGGCACATCGTAGCATCATTAACTTTTTGTGTAATTGCCAGGTCATTGAAGATTTACAACCGCCTAACAACAAAGACGACGACGCATACTCATCCTAGCACATTGAGCATATCGAGCTCTGATAGTTATTCCTCACCAAGTATTTACGTCAAGCAGTACGCAAGAAAACACAGGAAGTGACCACAAAAGTGTTTATTAGTGTCATAAATGCAAAGTGCAACATGTACTGTGTGTAGCAGTCTTACGCAGTTTCAAATGACTTGATTCCATGGTGTATTGGGACTCCCTTGCCGTCGGCTTTTGGTGTCGTTGGATGTCCTTGTCCGCAGATAGCTCGTCGGATAAGCTCTTTCTTCCGCTCAAATGATGTCCGCACACTGGCAGGTGTATCGGAGATGTAATCCGTGAGCATGTAAACAACCAGGAAGGCAGCGTGCTCCAGTATCAACGCGACAATAAAGCGCGACGAAATGCTGAGGCAAGAAAAATCTGGGCCCATGCTGAAGCGAGCAAGTCAGTAAATGAACATGGCGTAGGTTTTAGAAAATTAGTCAACATACCTGAAGTCGCTTCCGTTGAATCGCTCTAGAGCTATACATTCTGAGATAAAATACTCAAGCTCGCCAGTACTCAAGCAAATTAGCCCCACGACCACAAAGATGGCCAAAAACAACGTGATAAAGAGCATCTTTTCCCACTGTCCGATGCTATTCGCCTTCCGCGGAACTGGTCGTCGACGCAGCAAAACGAGCTTGTAGAAAGCGTTCTGGATGTGAATGACATTGTTTGCGAATGCTGCCATTGCGCAGAACGGCCACACAACTGAAAACATCACGACATATCCCTAGTTGAGTTGAAGACGACAACAAAAATCAGCAACAACAGAAAATAAATAACGCGAGGTTTTACGTACGTATTGGATGGACATCCGTAGGTAATCAGGCTGAAAAAGCAGGTAGTACACAGAAAAAAGTCAATGCGCCGTAATGGGGCCATCTTACAATCCGACCGCTTACAAATGCGTTGTACAGCGGCAGTTGGCTTTCTTCAAGCACATCATCAGCTGTCATAAAGTCTAGCGATTCGGAAAACAATGATTTGGTAGTTCAGTATAGTTTTGCAAACACGGTGTAGCCCAACTTGGCACTTACACTTCTCGTTTTCGAAGCCTTCCAATGTTGGTATTGATACTCCCAGTGCGTCTTCAAGGTACGGAATTCGAATTGGTGTCATCATTTGTAGCTATGTGTAGAACCGCACAGGTTAGGATCTCATAGTTCCAAATTCTGAAATCCTTATCGCTTACCTCGATTTTGGTCTTGAAAGCCAACGAACGCGACGAAGGGGACTGTGATAGATTACTGGGAATATTCTCAAACGAGGAGTGATACTCCGAAAGCGCAAGAAGAGTCTCTGCTGGGTTGGCTTTCATGATCTTTTTCGCCAACTTGGATGCTCTCAGCTTCTCCCGTCGGAAAATAATCGGTAAGGATGTATCAATCAAGAGATTTAGAGCTTGAGTGATGAGAAGCGGGGTGACAAACGCCGTCGACATATCAATAACACCACCTTGCCACTCCACCGTAAGCTTGGTGTATTGTAAATTCGCTGATAACCATGTTTCCACCTCGTCACCGAAAGGAATGATCACGAACGAGATCAGCATAAACCATAGAAAAAATGAGATCCAGTTAATAGCAAACAGTCGATTGACCATCGTCCGCTGGAAATGCGCATCCATAACGTGATTTTCACGAGTCACGAAGAACCGAATGAGCTTCACACTCAGCAGGTATACGACGATGTCCAGTGAAATTCCAAGTAGAATGCCTTGGGCGAAAATGTAAAACCACCTTCCAGTAAACAGGATTGGTCTCTCCGTGTTAAAACACGATAGGAATGCAACACATTCTGGACATTTACTGCATACCGGAGCCATCATTGCAGCCGTGTACCACTGAACGAAAAATGCAGTTCCCACGACATACGTAGCGATGAACAACGCGAATACCATAAATGTATGCAGGTATGCTGGAATCCGATACAGAGGGTTGTAGTAAGGCTCGCGGAATAGCACAACACCGTGAGAATCTACCACATCGCGATACCCTTGCGGCTTGAAAGTTGCGTTTGGGTAGTCAGCTTCCTTAAATAATCTCAAGTTCCACGCGTCATTAAGCAGATTGTTCTGTCTTGCCCAAACCTTTAGAAACGAGGTGCCCCAGATTGTCACCGTGCAAAACCCAAAGATGCACAATGACCTCATGTATGCACCTGCTCCAACCCATCTACACGATACGTACACCACACAACCTATGAGCGCAGGAACCAATAAGCATTTGGTGTAGACAAACAAGAAGCTGAAATAGAAGGCCACACGCTCTCCATAGTAGTAACGTAGATCGTTTGTGATTTCGGTGGACTTCCACCACCAGTGTCCACATTTGGACAAGAGCTTACTGTCCACGTATCGATTGTGGAGCGGGAAGCAGGCCATGATGATTGATTCATTGCGATTGAGCTCTTCAAACGAAATATTTGCCCCTGGAGGATTCAACTCTTCCACATTGGCAGTGGATGTAATGATGCGAGCGATAGTCTGGATCCGCTCAGCAGGAGTGAACTTCTCGTCGTCAATTTCCACCTTTTTGGCATTTTCGTATTCTGCTTCTTTAGTTGGTGATTCCACGTCTCCAATGTGGCTGGACGCGATAAGCTCTTCGATTTCGGATGGGACTTCACCCACAGCTCCGATCTGTAGCCAACGTTCGAGCACCAATCGACTTTTCTCAGTCTGCAATCTAGAAGGCGATGGTCGTAGCAGTAGCACCAGATACTTGCGTGAATACAGAGTGCTTGAAAGAACGAAGACCTCAAAGCCTGCGTTGATACAGCGACTGAGTACCTCCATTTGTCGTTTTCCCACTGCATCGAGTCCATTTCGAGCGAGAATACGCGGCGTAGTCGGTTTGTTGTGCAAGATCAAAGCAAACTCGTACTTCATCCGGTAGTCCACAGAAGGAACACTTGGAATGACATTCCCATGTCGAGGAGACCAGACTCGAGGCGTTGCGTTCTTCGACTTTGCAGTGGGTGAGGAGTAGCGAGGCGAGGGTAAAGTCCCTCCAAAGCCAGTGGAAGGAGCTAAGTGCTGAACCAGATACTCCAGCGATCTAGTGTAAGTACGTTGACGAAAATTAGACCCCGAATCGTGATCTGCTAACCCAGTGTGGCTCTTAACACGACGATGGCGGCTTTGGCTGGAACGTTTCGCCCCTTCGTCCGTCTCTTTGAGAGCCTCACCACGACTCGAAGTTGACTCTGTTACTGAGAACGAGTGAGTGAACACGTTAAGACGAAAATCCGCTCGTGGGTCGGCACGGCGATGTCGAATCATCGACGGTGGCGTCCCTGGTTCACTGCCAATAGCAACAGCTTGAGTGGTTGATGGCCGTCGTAGGTCTTGCTGCTCATCAGAGCCGAAACTCCATAGTCGTTGCACTCCTGACTTGGCTGCAGCCGGACCATTGCCCGCCATGGTAAGTCTTCCGATCGCCAACTCTTGCCAACTAGTTGCAACCTCAGTGATGGTTCACTTCAACTTGGACGGTTGCGCATGAAAGGACGCGTCGGTTCGAGTCTTTGTTGCAGGGCGAGCAACAAGTGAGAGATTGTCTTTACTTACAACGACCATGGACCCGCAGACAGCTGAAGCTGGGGAGGCTTACCTCAATTCCATGGGATTTCGATCGCTCATTGAGTGGATGACGGCTGAGGCGCTTCTATCTCGACCTGATGATCCGCTCACTTTCCTCCAGGCTTTGCTACAGGAAAAGATCGGAGAGGTTTGTGATTGCAATATTGAAAGTGCCCCTTTCAAAGCTGTGTTCTCATAGATTGGTACTTCGGATGATAGAGGAAAAGTGGTGAGAAGTTCCAGCCAGAACACACGCTGGCCTACATCAAGCAATGCTACGCTGCAGCAAGGTTGACTGACGATGTAGTTAGTTTATCCTTTATTGAACCTAATACTCGACGTTGTGGTGGTATAGTGCTTCAGCTGATGAGAATGGGCGGATTCTAGTCAAGCCTCGAAAGTTTGCGTACGTGTTGTACGCATTTTTCGTATCGGAAAATTTTACTTTGATAACATGAGCGCGAACTACCAGACCTCCACCTGCAAACAATGCGCCAACCCCCCAACAAGGCAACGACCCAGCGCTGGTTCACCGATTATCCAAGATGGAGCAGGTCATTCAAGCTTGCCGCATAATCGGTTCAGAGCTTGACCCCACGGAAGGTCGGTTGCTTCATTCCGATCTAGGCATCTGTCTGTGCCACTAACGTGTACTTTGTTGTGCTAAACTGTAGCAACCAAGATCATCATTAAGCAAGCATGCGCGGTTTTGAATGCTGAGAGAGCGACACTCTTCATTTATGTAAGAAAACTTGCATTAATCTTATTGTTTTGACCAAATTTCTCACAAATTCTTTAAAACTCGTAAAAGGAGCGAGTCACGGATATGCTCGTTCTGAAGGTGTCTGAGGGTGCCACAGATATTCACGTTCCATTCGGGAAGGTAGCACAAGGTCTCCACTAGCTGTCACAAATAATTCTTTAGCTAACCAACACCCCATCATTTGGTTAATAGGGAATTGCTGGCACCGTGGCTGCTACTGGCAAAGCAATGAATATTTCGGACGCTTACACCGATCCGAATTTTGATTCGCAGTACGACCAACGCAATGGCTACCAAACTCGGTCGATGTTGTGCGTACCAGTCCGTAACGGTGCAAACAACATTGTCGGAGTCATGCAGGTTCTTAACAAGATAGCCGTCGACAAGAAGGCATTTTTCAGTGATGAAGATGAGGAATTCCTGACGATCCTAGCAGCTCAGGCAGGCGTGGCGCTCAACAACGCCGACACTCACACTGTTGCCTGTATTGCTCGCGAAAGAGTCAAAGACGTACTGAGCATCGTGCAAGATATGCACCGTGATCTGGGCTTCATTTCGCTCATGTTCACCATTTCGACGCGTGTGCAAAGGTTCGTTAACTCGGATCGCTGCACTCTTTACATTGTGGATCGAGCCAAGAATGAGCTCTGGACTTTACAAGGTGAGGTGAACATTCGTGTGCCGATCAATCAAGGTATCGCAGGTGCAGTAGCGATGAATAACGAAGCGATTAACCTTGAGAATGCCTACGATGATCCGCGATTCAACAAGGATTTCGACCAAAAGCTTGGCTACCAGACGCGAAGTGTGCTCGCTATGCCTCTTCGCAATGGATCAGGCGAAGTCATCGCGGTCGTTCAGCTTATCAACAAGCTGGATGCAAGTGGTGTATTCTCAACGGACGATGAAGAACTACTAGGCACTTTCTTACAGATCGCCGGGCCGATCCTTTTCAATTCACACTCGCATCTCAAGATTGCATCATCGCAAAATAAAGAAGAGGTTGGGACAGAGTTCACGGGGAAAAGTACACGCGGAGGTCAAGAGATAGTGGAGATGAACGTCATTTCAGAAAATGATGAGGAAGAAGCGTAAATGCAGCATGCAGTTAATAAAAAAAAACTATTTACGTATTTTTGTTTTTGCTTTTTGATGCTGCATTTATGCTTTTCACCGAGAATGTCACCCTCTGAAATGAGGATTTCTCTCGACTTTCTGGCGCCTACCTACTCTATAGAGCAAACAGGATAATAATGCCTGAGCAGGCTGTCCTAGAGAAATTGCTACGAGCCTCCTCGACACATTGCTGCATCGAGGCACCCGTGGACACTTACCGTTGTTTTCACGTTCTTGGTCTTGAAAACGCGAGTGGTCTTGGTTGACTACGAAGCTTGCACTCGATCAGAAGCATCAGCATGTTCTTCGAAGCGTTCTCGTCTCGATTCACAGTCATACCGTGACAGCCATTGTTGGTGCAATGGAGTACACTGTGGACCTTCAATGTACGCTCGACGCCATCCTTCTTGCATAGACGCTTGCTGTACTGATTCTTCATTTCGCGATGACACACCGAGTGAAGCTTGCTTGTTCGAAACTCGTCAATCGATTCTACGCGACAGTGCTTCTTCAGCTCTCGTCGGAATGAGTTAACTGGACCCGCCGGACACTTTTTGATTAGCCCGCTCACGTCGGTGTTGCTCCAGTCGCCGAAGCCAACAATCGTTCGCCTTCCCGCTTGAGCAGTCAACCTCTGACAAAGCTGACGCAGTTTCTTCTTCGCGAGAATGTAGCGGCGGAATCTCAGCTTGCGAAAAGGCTTGTGCATGCGAAAATCCAGCAGTAAGTCTATACGAGGAGTCATGAACTTCACATAAGCTTCAAGTTGTTCGAGCGAGGCAGTCTTCTTTGTAGGCATGTTGCGCACAGCTTCGAGAACGTCGGGACGATTCTCTTGCCAGACCTTCGTTTTCTGGTTGCTCTTCTTGTAGTGAGCGTCTTCATAGAACTCTCGAGTCGTGCAGAAGATCTTTTCGCCGAATTGGTTCGTCGCCACAAACAGATCACGTCGACCGGGATCAAGACCCCACAACACATCGTAGTCCTTCTCGTCAAGCGCAGTTTCAACGATCTCTCGCTTCGGCTTGCGCAAAACGATGCACACAGCCTTGCCGTCCGTCTCAATCACACCAGAAAACTTGCGGTTGACAGTTTCGAACTTCTCGATCTTGAACAGCTTTCGCCACCAAGAGTCTGCCTCCGCAATCCAAACGTCTTCATTTGGCACCGCAATGCCAGCGCGCTTCAACAACGCACGAAGTCCGAGATTACACATCGTGAAATGACTGCACTCAAAGCCCTTCTTGGTTGGAAGAAGACTGAAATGACGAATCTCTTCATATCCCTGGGTTTCTCGATTTCGATGATTCCACTCTTCGATATCCGACCGAAACATGAACGTCAGCGGAAGAAGCAGATGCGGTTTGTCGTCGAGGTAGCCGTTGCTCTTGCGTGGGATACGTGCACGCCATGCCAGTATCTCAACGTCGTCGCCATCGTACACGGGATCCAGAATGCTCTTCAACATCAAGTACGCTTCACTTCCGTCGATGTAATACGAACGCTTGATTTGCTTGTGGAGCCGTCGGTAGAAATTGAGCTTGACAGCGTTCTCGGAGTTCGTCTTCATTTGTAGCGCTGCGTTGTGTTGCCATCCTCGAGCAATGTGTCGATTGCTTGCGCGTGGAGCTCCTGCAGCACGCCACGAGTTGTACAGCTTGACAGACGCTCGAAAGTGTTCATTGCCGAGCGGT